ACTGTGGAGTTTGCACAATGTATATATAATATATATAGGACAGAAGGGGACTTGACCCTTATGATTATATAAACACGATATTGTAACACTCAAATTCCAACTTAAACTTTATCCAAAAACAGGGACAAAATAGAGAAAGTAAGGAATAAGAATAGAAGATTAACAAATTAAGAGTATTAAGTTTTTGGGTTGGAACTCCTATAAATTCTAAATTGAACAAATTTCCAAAGACAAATTAAACTAGTATGCAAAACAGGTTCAGAAACCTTAGGGTTAAAAAAAATAAAATGAAAGTAACCACATCCTTGGAAGGATGTCATGACACTTCAATTCCATCATACTATTTGCATGAGAATCCTAACAATACACTCTATTTAATACACTCCTAATTATTGACTCAAATTTATTAAAAAAATTTAAAATGTAAAAAATATTAAATTAGGAGTGAGAAAAATGAGACATGCATAATTTTTATAATTTTCAATAAATTTTAGTTAATAATTAAAAGTATGCTAAAATAAATATATTAGGTGGTGTGTTGTTAATATTCTTCATTTGAGCATTCCAACCCTAATCATGGCATAACCCTCCTCACAAGCAATTACAAAGTCCTGATTTAATAACTTGGCCTTAACAGCAATTAGTCATGAGTCTTTATCACTTTCAACTATTTTCTCTAGTTTTTTTTATACAAGAAGATTTAGGTGATTTTTATTATAAGACATTTTACAATTCTAATGAAATATTTTGTACATATATTAGGCATTTGTATATGTAAATCAATAATAGTTAATTTTTTATATTTTAGATATCTTATCATAATTTAGTATCGATTAATTTTTGAGTCGGGTGAAAATTTGTAGATTTATATAATTTATGAAAAATTTGAATTTAACAATTATATTGACCGGATTTTCTTTACATATTATAATTATAAATATGCATGATTAAAATAATAAAAATATATAAAAGATTAAAACTAAAGCTTCTTATTTCTTTTTCTTTTGTTTGAATAAAAGAACACCTATATCTTTCCTTTAATTTGATTTTTCTTTCTTTCTAAATGTTACACTTATAAAAGGATATTACGTACGTTGTAATTTGGTAATTTATTATAATGTGTTTGACATTAGATGAATTGTTTTGTTTGTAATTATATATGTTAATTATTTACTATATTTTTAATGAAAGGTCCATGTTTATAATGACATTTATGTTCATTAGTTTGCAAAGTAGTGTTGGAGAAATTGTATTTTAATTATCTAAAACTATGAGTAAGGGAATGAATAATTTGAGAGTTTACTCTCCAATTGCTGAAGTTTAACACAAACTAGCTTAAGATCATACCTCGGAGTAAGACTTCTAAGAGTGAAACCTCAAAATCAAAGTTAGGTTTCACTTTTTAAGAACATACACAGAAACAAAAAGAGACTTAGTTGTATTTTTATCTCTCTATTTTAGTATATGTAAAATTTTGATCTCTCTAATTATAATTGTTCATATTTAATCTATTTAGCTTTTCAAATGTTCAAATCAAACTTTTCATCTAAAAAAATCTAATAATTAATAAAAATATAATAAAAGTATGTTATGTTATTGATTTATATAAATAAATAAAAATATATAAAATATATTTAAGTAAGATGTATATAAAATAAAATGTATAAAATATAATAAAGGTTTAAATATAAACAATTATATAAGGATTAAAATTATTAATACATTAAAGTATAGGAATCGAAAATGCAATTAAATAAAATATAAAAAGAAAACCAGTGCATGAGAACTGAAGGACCCCGAAAGGATGAATGAATGCCCGTGAATTAAAAAAAAATGAATTTAAGAATGAATGGTGTCAAAGCAAATCGGTGAGAGTTAATGTAAATAAGCCACGGAGAGAAAATACCCAAAAATAAAATAAAACATTTAATTTTTAACAACCGCATGTTTTTTTATTAATTTATATATTTAATTTCTATAGCTGATATTGATTTATAAATTAATTTTTATATTTAAAAAATATTTTAATTTTAATATGAATATTTTTATATTTTAATTTTTATTATTAATGGTAAAAATAAAAAATTAAAATATAACAAAACATTCATATAATAACTATAACATAACTTTTTTTAAATATAAAAACTATTTATAAACAAGTATTAATTATAGGAATCAAATATAAAAATTTTAATCACAAACAAAATGGTAAATTTGTTTGAAAAATATATTAAAAATTAAAAATTAAATAAAAATTATAAAATTTAAAAGATAAAAATTATATTTTAAGTTAATATTATTATTTATGATTAAAATTATAAATATTGATTGATATTTAACTTATTCATTTATGAATATATATATATATATATATATATATATCATAATTATAATTAATAAAATATTATGAATAATTTATATAATAAATATTTTTTTATTACAGGTGAAATAAGATTAAATATACTAAGATATTTTTATATGAATAAAATATTTAATTGATTGAAAAAAAATACTTTAAAGATTAATTAAGAAATTTTAATTATTTATTTATATTATGATAAAAATATTAAAAATTCATTTAAGTAATAAAATTAATCTATTATGATTATAAGTAATGATATAATTTCACATATTAAATATAATAAATATTTCTTTTTTTATAAAAAATTATATATTCTACAAAAAGTTCATAAAAATTGATAAATTATATAAAAAATGTATTATATATAAATGAAAAAATTACATATTAAAAAAATATTCTGTTGATATTTTATTTATTTTTTAAAATTAAAATAAAATTTAAAAATATATAATTAAATAAATTATTTTATTAATAAAAAATAAGCATGTATTTTATTTTTTAAAAAACATTTAGCTCTTATAATTAACACATTTAGAAATTAGTTCTCAAATTTTTAAAAAAAATTATTTCTTATACGAGTGATTTAATACATTTTAGTCTTTTCGAAAGAGATTGAAATACTAATTTTGTGTAATTAAGAATAATTTGTAAACAAATATTATTATGAGAATTGAATATATAATTTAATTATTTTTTTAACAGGACTCAGCAAAAATGCAATCTAGGTGTACTAGATCCACACCAACAAGAGATTATTTAATGCCTGTCTATATGGAGACTCATGAACGTGAATTTGGCATTTGGTTGAGTATGAAGAGGATAAGAATTAATATCAATCAAAAAGTCCAGTCACTTCTATACCACTAGAACAAATTTTGATATTTCGTGCAAATTTTGGCTTAGGAAATACATTTTCTGTGAATTTTTTCTTTTATTTGTTTTTCAAATTTTCCTATAAATAGTTTGCAAGAAACTATGTCACCTATAGCTTTTTCTTTTTTATGGTGATAATGGAGAGGAACTGAAATAAGAATAGATTAAATTGCACATTTTCACTACACCTCATTCATTTGTTTTCATGGGGAATAATAACAAATTAAAAAATTATCAATTCCATGAGACCTACTAAATTCCTTTTATATTTTTTTAAAAAAAAAATCTTATTATGCTGTGAAATGGAATGAGCAACTACTGGTGTGGGACGGGTGAACCTATTATTTTATTTACTTTATTTATTTTTATTTTTGAATAATTTTTATATAAAGATAAGAATATTAAAAATAAAAAATTATTAAAAAATAATTCTTTTATGATCACTGTAAATAAATATTTGATATAGGGCAAAATTTGAAAAGGTGAAAACAGAGATTGATTCAAAGTGCACGTGAACGACTTAAACACAACGAAATTGTTTCCTTCGGAAGGCCACACCTGGATTGTGCTAGAAGTCATACATACAATTAATCGATCATCTTCGTGCCACATATCCAATTAACGTGTAACACCGCCATTTCAACTCAGAAAAAAACCAACATGAAGTTGGACTAACTCCTTTACCAAATTACCATACTAATATATATTTCAGCGATTTAGTGTGTTCAATTTGAAAACTTCAAAACAACTGAAAAATAAGTGAGTTCTTCTACTCTTCAAAGTATATTTTGAAATGAACACATTTTTCATTATTTTTTTTTACGTATAAACAACGTCCTTCCAATTAATTCTTCTCTCGTTACTACTCCCCTTGATTTAGGAAATGAGCTAATCCAAATCTTTTAGCACTTTAAAAAGTTTAAGGTTATATAATATATAGACTACTGTTGTTGTCTTTCTCTTGGAGACTACGACAACCAAAGTAATGCCATGCAAAATGTGTATATTTATAGAATAGGCTTGTCTCTCAAACAACCAATCGATCCTAATTAAGGAGGCGAGAAGAGAGGTAAAAATCATTGAGCATCATGACATGATTACTGCATTAGAAAAAAAAAAGTGAAAAACGACATAGTTAGGCAGAAAATGAAAAGTGTATGCCTAATTTAGGTGTAAGAAGTTGAAGGAATTAACAAAGAGGTAGAAAAAATTGAAATGTAAAACGTAATATGATGAGAGAAAAAAAATAAAACTAATATGAAAGAGAGATAATATTATGTGAGTATATGAATATTATTATTGTGTGAAGCAACATGTACACAGTTTTCAAAGTTTACTATAATTTGCTAGCGAACGAAGAAGTGAAAGACACAAATTAGTAATACTTATTGTCAGGACTTTTTTGTGTTTGAATATTGGAGTCATAAACAGTTTTTGTACAACGTACAAAACTAAAATTGTTAAATAAGGTTGGTGTCCTTTTCTACAAAGAAAAATTAAGGGTAATGTCAACATTACCAGCTACGTAGCTGGCTACTTTTCTCCAGCTTAATTAGATTGCAATATCTAATCCAAAATCTAAGAGGGTAGCATTGGTCCAAAAACCAATAATTTACTCAACATATACAACGATTACTGAACTTTCAGTAAGGTAAATTTGAATAGATCAAATCAAAGTACACCTACTAAGATGAATAATTAGTCAGTGTTAAGGTGCTAAAAGAAACTATATAAAGGGTTCACTACCTTTGCTACCAGCAGAACCAAAACCCATTTTGAAGTGTAGTTGGGAGAAAATGGGGTCTCTAATGACCTTCGGAACTCTCACTCTTGTATTGGCAATAGTCTCTCTCAGCTTGCCTTCTCAAACCTCAGCAGATCAATACTCCTATTCATCACCACCGCCAGAGAAGCCTTACAACTACCACTCTCCACCACCACCACCAGAGAAGCCTTACTACTACCACTCTCCACCACCACCACCTCCTAAAAAACCCTACTATTACCACTCTCCACCACCACCTCCTAAAAAACCCTACTACTACCACTCTCCACCACCACCACCACCAGAGAAGCCTTACTACTACCACTCTCCACCACCACCACCCCCTAAAAAACCCTACTATTACCACTCTCCACCACCACCACCACCAAAGAAACCTTACTACTACCACTCTCCACCACCACCACCACCTCATAAAAAACCCTACTATTACCACTCTACTCCACCACCACCACCAGAGAAGCCTTACTACTACCACTCTCCACCACCACCACCACCTAAAAAGCCTTACTATTACCACTCTCCTCCACCACCACCACCAAAGAAGCCCTACTACTACCACTCTCCACCACCACCACCCCCTAAAAAACCTTACTATTACCACTCTCCTCCACCACCACCTGTCTACAAGTACAAGTCTCCTCCTCCTCCTGTCTATTCCCCACCACACTATGTCTATTCATCACCACCACCACCCCCTTACCACTACTAGATAGTGATTTAATATACCACCCATGGTAAGCTTCGTAATAAAATCCATATTATTTCAATCAAGATTAATTTCAAATTACTGTTACAGTTATGCAAGCTTCTAAAACTTTAATGTTATCGTAATCAAAATTATAGTTACAGACTAAAACCTTAAATCCAACGAATTTTCCAGATATTATGAAAATATGAAACATTTATTTGTTTATTATATTTTTAATATAACTATTTTTTACTGGTGCATTATTTTTTTACTCTTGCTTTTTTCATTTATTTTTTATGCCTAAAAAAGAGAGAGAGAAACTCATATTGGCTTTTGTCTGTTTTCTTTTTTAATAAAAATGTGAATATAGTATAAGCAAATTATGACAATCCTTAAATTTTATTATTCTAATTTTTACATTTATCTTACAGTTTTTACATATATTTTTTCTCTTCTTATCATATTATACTGATCATCATATGTTATTGCATTTTTCTAGATCTTTATCTCTTTCTTCCATTCGAAAGTGTATATATCCCGTTGGATGTACAAAAAATAATCTTTTTGATTTTAGAATGCATTAATATATCGACTGTGAAAACATCCTCATTACGAGATTGGGGTCCAATTAATTAAATGTTATTGCAAACTTATAATATATGTGTATTTGTGTGTTTTCAGGATCTAGCAGAGAACATGTCCAAATAAAGGAGACAGTTGGATGGAAATAGACGATGCAATTTATTCATAAAATGAAACGCGTTTAGTGAAAATAGCGTTAATTTGGTTTCACTTTAATTTTTATTTCGTATTTTGTAATTTCAATGTAAGGCTCTGTTCAGATCTGATCCATGTGTGTACTCGTTCCTTTGCTGCATGCGTTGTGGGTTTCTACCTGCTGGGTATGCAAGGGGCCAGTATTGCTAGTCATATTATATAATAAATAAACGCCCTGATTTTTTTACTATAATTTCACGTTGCATCTTAAATCTTTTTATAAAATTATTATTACATCATTTATCATATCTATTTTTAATTCTTTAATAACACCACTTAATCACATGTTAACATGACCGATTCTTCTCATCTTAATGCTTCTGAGAATATTTGGTCAAAGACTAAATTCACGTATAGATGGAATTAATAAAAATAGTGAGGTTTGAAAATCAAATATTTTTATTGAATTATATTATTGAAGGGTCTTATAATTAGGTGGAATTAATAAAAGAATATAATATTATATTATTTAGATAATAAATAAATTAAATCCATAATACAAGGTACTTGGTTTCTAGAAATATATCTGTCCTTGTTTCTCATCATGAGTGTCTTATATTTATTGATTATAAAAAAGAAGCACGTGATATAGATGTTTCTCGTTCCTTTCTAAGTGTTTGCTTGGAAGTTAAAAATTCAAATATGAAGTTAAAAACTCAAATACATCACATAGTAAATCTTTCTTAACAATAACCTCAAACTTGTTACTTAAACTATTCTTAATGGGTAGAGACTTTTAGAATAAAATTTTGACTTGAAAATTTAATTAAAAAATATTTAATGTGTATCACCAAAAATTTAATTTTTGGTGCCTAGCTACAACTGGATCTCTCAATAAAAAAAATATTTGTTTTATTGAAGGAATCATATGTAAACTCAAATTGGAATTTGGTTATGTAAACTAAATCCCCAAATAGCTATGTGATGTTGCCGGAATCGCAATTATTGAGTAGTAAACTATTGTATCAACATAAAATGTGTTGTTAGGTATCAATTATTACTCACAAGTCAATCATTTAGATGTTTCGATTGAAGTTTTAATATATAAAGAGAATAAATATTGCAATAGAACAAATTTGAAAACAAATTTTAACTGTTATGTTTATCTCAATTTGCACAACCATGTACACTTGAGAATTCTAAGTCGAAGAAATTTTAGGATTTTAAACTCTATTAAAAAAATATCAGCTTAAATCTTTTTTATATCTTTCACATCTGTTTTCATCTCGTTCTTTCCACACCTTTATTACATCTTTTTCACATTTTCAATCTTAATGTTTAACGATCGCTGACGACTATTAAAGTTTTAAAAATGTGTCAGATTAAGAGCTCTCTTCATCTCTTGCAGACTCATTTAGTTTGTAATTATTTTCAAGTTTTATGAATTTGTGTAAAGTTATGGTGAATTCTTTGTATAACTTTATGAGATATTTTTTATTAATAATAATTTCACGTTTTCTTTCTTGATTGATGTTTACCTATTACATTATATTTGTATGTTTAGAATTCAGAACTCTTAATATATCATAATTAATTATATCGTAGGTGACCGTACCATATATAATTAATGGATTTATAAGATAAAATGAAATAAAAGATTAGATAGATCAAATCAATTTTTTTTAATCATTATTAAATTAATAGCTCATAGACTATTTATATTTTCTCTTCCTTTTACTTTATATGATCATTGGGGATAATAGTTTTAGTATGAGTGATTAAAATCATAGTGATTTGTCGAAGAGCTTCATTTATAAACCTAGGGAATGTTTATAACTTGTTACCTCTTTGTATATTCCTTTCCTTTATTTATATCATCTTAATTATTACAACCATTTAACCATGTTATAACCTTAAAAAGATCAAAAAAAATTTATTTACATTCAATTTATTTAGTAAAGAGTCAGTTTAACAAGCATCCTTACTATGTTAATCAAAATGGAATCCAGTTTTTGAAAGACATCAAAAGACATAAATGCCCTAAATTAGGTTATTAGCCAAGTCTATTTCCATAGGAGAGACAATATCAAGTGTCTTATATGTAGGAACACGTTATAAGATATTATTAAAATTTCAGTAACTGTCAAAATTTATTCCCAATAAATCTTGGATAAAATTACTTTTAGATATGTTATTACTAAGTTCTTATTGTAATATGTGCATTAGGAACATAATTTCCTTATTATTCAAAGTTATAGTAACCTAGTCCTTATCCTCAGGGACAAATTAGCTATTGTTTTATGACGACTATTCAAATTAGAATTTAAAGTACTTTTGCTACAAGTTTAGCCTTAGTTAATTCACTTTGACCCATCCCTTCACACATACCAATTTATGGTTATCTATTGTGTTTTGATAATCACCAAACCTTCTTGACCCGACTCATAAGAAGAAATACTCAAAACATGAAATCTAGATCCTGAGGGAAACTCCTTACCCTTATCACTATTATTAGATGTTCCTATAGCTCTAGATTGTCCTGATTTCTTCCTTAGAGAGTTTTTAGCCAACATCTATGAACCAAATTTACCCTACTCCTCTCCAAAATTATCCTCATGCATATCTTGAGTATCATCCCCTAAATGACCACTTGAGAGACTAGATTCATCCCTTTTATCCCTTATAGATACTTTAGGGTTAGACACAAATTATTTATATTATCTTTGATTAATTATAATTTTTAGTATATGATTTTAATATATGTCCATACCTATCACAGTTAAAGCAAATAAGATGCAATTTCTTATATTCATGGCTTAGGACTTTAAAAGAAAGAATCAATTTCTTATTTAAATCTAACTCAACACATATTCTAGTAAATCTACCTCTAGATAATAGAAAAGTGTGCGGATTAATTTTTAACATCGAACTCAAATAGATTTTTACCTGCCACATAAATTTCTCATTGTATAATTTAAGAGAAAGATCAGGGATATACACCAAGGCTACCATATTCCTAATGTTATATTCTTTAAATCTAAACAAATGTCTTCATCTCTAAACAAGAAGATAATGGTCCAAGATAAGTTAAGAACTTTCAAATAAAACATGTTTATAGTCCTTTGAATTTTTAAATTTAACAAAAAAAAGTTATTGTTAAGATCTAGAATTTAAGTTGGTCATTTTTCTCTAAAATATTACTTAATTTTTAATTAAAAAATTAAAACTAATGAATTTTCTTAGAAGTTTTACTATTAGAATAAATTTTTATGGAGAACATATCTCAGTCTTTTAAGGGAATCTTTAGTTCATGAGGTATATGGAGAAGTTTAATATTTCTTCTAAACCAATTTAACAATTTCATCATCCCCTAATACTAGATCTATGTCTTTTGATATTAGTACTTTATCTTTATAAGTCATACATATAGGAGGTACATGGTTAAAATACACTTGATTAGTAGGACAATCAACAAGAGAATCTTCTTGCATGTGCGAACTTAAAGTTTCCATGGATCTTGACCTTTTTCATGTTGTGATTCATTAGATTTATTTGTTGACTGTTTCTTTGTTCCATTTGCTCCATCCGTTACTCACACTTCTTGATTGAGATGGGTATTAAGGCAGAAACACTCTATATGACCATTGGGAGGCCACCAGAGTCGCAATGATGCATGAAGGAACCAAAGGAAAACCTAAGATTAAAGAATCTCTAGCAGAGAAAAAAAAAATAAAAAAAAATCTCTCTCCATAAGCAAGAAAGTATTTCTTTTAGAAAACTATTATATATTATTGTGATTTTCTATGTCAATTTTTATTAAATTTAATATATATATATATATATGAGAAAAGATCTTTTCATACTAGTGTTAATCTAAAAACTCTAACATTCGATTAAAGTCTTTCATTTAACTTACATCTAACGGCTAGTGAAGTAATAAATTATAACTCATTAAATATAAGTTAAATGAAAGGTTCAAATTGAGTGTATAAGTTTTTAAACTTAGACTAATTTAAAAAGATCTTTTATATATATATATATATATATATATATATATATATATATATATATATTAATCTAACATAATTTTATAGACATCATCTAAATAATAAATTTTTTTAAAATTTATCAATTAATTTTAAATAAAATTACCTAATAAAAATTAGTATAATTCTACCGAAATAATTTTATTTTGCTTATATTTATTTGTTTTTCTGCATTCTTTTAATTTTAGAAATTTTGTTATGCTACTATGCTTAAAAATTAAAGTATAACAAATTAAAGTAAACAGGGATTCAGATTTAAGGCAAATAAATAAATAATTTTTATCTGTTATTAAATTTTAATTTGATTTTAGAAATTGATTATACACTAGAAAAATAAAGTTTAAGAATCAATCATAATAAAATTAAATTTTATAGTATCTATTTGTAAAATTAGTAAACTTTAATAATTAATTGAGCTAAAATTATATTTGAAGGTATCTAATTATAAAACCAAAAAAAAAAGAAGAAAGATAAATCCAAAAGAAATTAAAATTTAGTGTGTCTGTCTATTTATAAAATAAAAATATAAAATTCAAGAAAACTAAATACTCTTTATTCTAAAAAGAATTGAGAATAGTATTACTCTTATTTTTAACAGTTTTATTAATATTAATTCTTAAAAAAAAATTAAATGACTGATAATAATATTTTTTATTAAAAAATAAAATATCATTATAGTTTTATATCTTTAAGTATAATTAATAGTTTTTAATAAATAATTATTATTTTCAAATACTTAATATCAGGTCTGAATAAACTGTATTTTCAATACAAGTGAGACGCAACCATACGATATAGCAAGTACATGAAGTACATGAATCCCTACGTACAAGTCATCTTTTTCTTCTTTGGGGTAAACGTACAAGTATATGAATAATATGATATAAGAGCTTCGTAACAAGGACAATGTTTGAGGTGTTCTAATTGGTTAAGTTGATTTTCATTATTGTTTTGAAAATATATTAGATGACAGTGCAATAATTAATAAAATTTTGTACTAACAACGATTAAAATTAAGTCATATATATAATTACAACTACTGCTGTCTTTATTGCTAATAGCAAAATAACAAGTTTACAATGGGTAACATGATCCTTTCGAATTTTGTATATACCTTCAAATTAAAGTAAATATAAATATATTTATTAAAAACTCTTAAACTAATTGTTAAGTTGATAAAATTGGCTGTGCCTAGAAAATTA